AGAGGGTCGTTGAGGCCACTTGGAGGTTTATCTCTGTCCTCAGGGTCACCTGAGTGGTGCAAACGGGTGTGGAGCCTCCTTGGAACTGTTGAAAGGAGCTGTGTAGTAGATGGGAGATAGATAATGTTGTATCTGTTGACGGAGGGCTATTCAATTTGGACATAGGTGGCCTCTTTGAGCCTCTCTTTCAAACCAGCAGTCCTCTCTGCCCCAAAATGTGGGCTTTGCTGTCTTCAAAAGAGCAGCCAAGGAGGCTCCACCACCATTTGCACCACTCAGGTGACCCTGAGGACACAAATAAACCTCCAAATGTCCTCAACAACCCTCTAAAAAGATGCAAATGACCAGCTCTGTCTGCAAGGAGTATAAATCCTTCCCTTCCCCACCATCCAGTCAAATTGGAAGAAGCTTCTTGGATGAGAAGTGAAACATCTTCAAAGAAAAACCATGGAAGCCCAGTTGCCCCCTGAAAAATGCACCTTCAGGACTTCACCCTTATGAGCTATAGATATTCACCATTGTTGAAAAAGTGGCATTTATCTCAACTTTGAACACAAACCTGTATTTATTTGTATTTGACTGAAGAATCACACTGTGGTCCTCCAACTAGAATAAACTCTATTCGTGGTGTAGACTCTTGTTCTGTTTGGCATCCGGGGAACTCGATAGCCTTACATTCCCGACAACAATCGGGCCCAGAAACTGCGTTGTTAAGCAGTACGGCCGTTAAGCGAGGCTCCTGATTTTACGCCCTTTTTTTGTGCAGTCATTAAGCGAGACACCCCACGGTCACCATCTGCAACCTCAATTCCATCCCAGCTTGACTTTCCTCGTTGGAAAAGGTTGCGATCAGGTGTGCAACTGTCATAAATGCGAGAGTTTTTCAGGCCTCCAGATCGCCATCGTGCCGTTGCAGTGTGAGAACTGGCCATAAGTCACCTTTTTTTTTTTTCATCACCGTTGTCACTTCGGTCATTAAACGAATTCAGCTTGAAGCCTTGCCGAATACGGTGAGACGGATCACTCCCTTCTCCTAAGCTGAAGATATATTCTAGATTTTTAACCCTCTGGGCAGTGGTGGAATTCAATTTTATTTTTACTCTGGTTCTGTGGGCGTGGCTTGGTTGGGCGTGGCAGGGGAAGGATACTGCAAAATCTACATTCCCTCCCCACCCCGCTAACCTGCTTTCCAGCTCCGTTCTCCTGCGCGGGGCAACCCAAGGAGACCCAGCCGATCCACTGGGACTCAATGGGAGGCAGAGCAAAGATGGGGTTGGCGAGGCCAGTCAGGGGTGGCATTGGCCGGTTTTCCGAGCGACTCACAATTTCCACTACCAATTCTCCAGAACCGGTGCGAACCGGATACCACCTCTGCCTCCAAGGGAAACTAAAAAAATAAAATAAAAAAATAAAGTCTAGCTTATGCCGCATTTTTACCCACAAGATCGCACGCCCAAAACATCGGTGCCCTTTGCGCTGCTGAATTTTGTGTGTGTGTGTGTTCCTCTGGGCAGCGGAAAGGCTGAGCGGATTATATCCAGCGGGGTGACGTCAAAACGGTTGTCTAGGAGTTACAAAGTGATGTGACACGATAAGGCCGTGTTTTGACAATAGCCGGGGACGTGTTCCGAGAAATGCCACCGAAATACCATCACGAAAGCCCTGTGGGAAGAAAACTCCGTGGCATAGGCGCTTGAGAAATTTTGCAGCCAGGCCAGGTGATTATTTTTTATTTTAAAACTCCAGAGGATTTGGGAAGACATCCAGGAACCTCGTTCCCCATGTTTCAGAAAAGGGTTTTTTTTTTTGCGTGCCATTTCTTTGACGTGTTAAATCGATAAAAGGCCCTGCAGAGAGAGAAAGAGACAGGAAAAAAAAAAGAGCTTATAGGAATGGTGGCAGAGAAAGCACCGGAGAAATTTAATTTAGTGGTCCATGGGTTTTTTTTTTTTTACTCTTCGGATCAATTAAGAGCGGCGCGAGTTGGGAAAGACTCACTTGCACTTAACCAATTTCTCCCGGAGAGCAAAACGGGAGGGATTTTAAACAGGGTTGGGCTGGCGGACGAGTAAAGGAAAAAAATCCCGCAGGGCAGAGGATGTTTTGGTGCAGAAATGGGGAAACAGAACTTCAAGGCTGGAGGAGGAACCCCCCCCAAAATAAATATAAATAAAAGAGATTGTGGCTTATACCCTTCCAAGCTCTCACACGGCCCAGACTCTGGGACTTCACAGGGTGATTTTCCATCTTCCATTTCTGAGTCCTGGAGCCAGGGGTCATTTTCTCCAATGGAACCTCTAACAGAGTTGGAAGGGACCTTGTAGGTCATCTAGTCCAACCCCCCACCCAAGCAGAAACCCTATACCATTTCTGACAGATGGAAGTCCAGTCTTCTTTTGAAAGCCTCCAGGGATGAAGCTCCCACAACTACCGAAGGCGACTTCTGTTCCATTGTTGGTTGATTGTTCTCCCTGTCAGAAAGTTTCTCCTTATTTCCATAGTTGAATGACTCCTTGATCCGTTTCCATCCATTATTATTCCTCGTCTGGCCTTCGGGGGTTTTGGAAAATAGCTTCTTCCTCTCTGTGGCATCCCCTCAAATACTGCAACATGGACATCTGTCTCCCCTGGTCCTTCTCTTCTCTAGACATTTTCTCAGCAGGCTTCAGAGAAACTTCAGGGGCTTCTGCAAATAATTAGCCCGCGTGGAAAGTGAGGTTGAGATCACAAAGACGGTGCACTTTGTAGGGTTCTAATTCTCCTCCTTCGCTTTTGGTCTTCCCGAAAAAGCTTTCCAATTCTGTCTTTATCTCCCTTCTTGCAGGAGGCCTGTGGGATGCTGACGTGGAGCCCACCTGCCTGGCGGTAGGGCTGGCCCCCGTGCGGACGCTGCTCACCTTGGAGGATGCCGTGTGGGCCAGCTGTGGCAATCAAGTCACCGTCTTCGATGCCGTCAGCCTGAAGGCTCAGGTAGGTCTGTTCTCCGGGGGTGTCCCGACGGAGTTGGGGAACCAGACTCAAAAAGCCGTTCCACGGAGGAATGGTTTCTCGCTGTCCGGAGGAATTTCCTGACAGTGAGGAGGATTAACCAGGGGAACAGCTCGCCTCCAGAAGTTGCGGGGCTCCATCCCTGGAGGGTTTTGAGAAAAGGCTGGACAGCCATTTGTCCAGAGGTGTTTGGTGTAGGGTCTCCTGCTTGAGTTAGGGGGTTGGAAAGGACGAGAAGAACTCCAAGGTCCCTTCCACTCTGTTATCCTTCCTTCCTTCCCTTCCCTTCCCTTCCTTACCTTTCCTTTCCTTTCCTTCCCTTCCCTTCCCTTCCCTTCCCTTCCC